AGGGGACCTGCCCCAGTATAAGTCACGGAATCTGTAGGAAACAATCCAGGTTAAGAAAAATTGATTTGAGCTCAGCCTTCCTTTCCCTGCAGAACCTGGGAATTTTGCATTTGGGGTAGTTTAATGTCTACTGGGGAATCATTTGCCCTTTATGTCGAGAACTAAAACACAGTTACTATATTTGACATCTATCTTGCATAGTAGAATGCTGGAAAATTTTAATGCTTCCAAGTTTTAATTGGAATAGATCATTATGTATATCTTGATTCAAATTGAACTTGATTTCTTGGTCTAATCATAGCTTTGGATTTAGTTTAACAAGAGAATAGCACACAGCTGAGTGTTTGTAAAGCTCTGTCTGTTTGTACATGTATAAGGCGAAGAGTGGGAGGTCTGGATGATGTTAAATGGTTTATGAATGCGATTAATAGAATCATGGAAATTTCCAAACTAGAAGAAGGCCATTTGGCCCATAGTGTCTGTGCTGGATACCTCAAGAGCAATCTTTTCAGTCCGTTTATATCTGTCTTGTTCTTTCTTGGAGGCTAATATGGATTTTGCCTCAACGTTTGCTTGTTGCAGGGATTCCATATCCTAACTACTGTGCATGTGTGAAAACAAATTCTCCTAACCTCCCCATTTGTTCGCTTAGTAACTGTCTTAGATTGATGCCCTTGAGTTACTGACTTGCTGACCAGTAACGTAATAATAATAGTTTATCCAGACGTTAGGAGAGTTGTTCACTATTCTGGAATAAGTGTATTCCATCTCTCCTCGTTTTTTTCTCCTGTTTGCTTATTAGACGTTCATACTATGATATATTTACATGGGCTTTACTCTGGTACTTTGTCCAAGTAATTGTTCTTGTATGAGACTAGGCATTGAGTATCAGAAGGTTATTCAACCACAAGGGGCATGCCAGCCATGGTGGACCATGTCTATATATGAGACAAGGCAGTGAGTGTTAATAGGTCATTCAGCTAGCCATGTCAGAACAAGCTCTTTCCAGCAGTGATCAGTGGTTACCAAACAGGAATGGAAGCTTTTTTATTGTTTTCTTCTGTTCCTAGATCAACATTAATAATTTTAATTCCCTTCTCTCCTCCTCCCTCCCTGATACGAGTGCTGATTGACTGACTTCTATGCTGCAATTCTTTTTCCTACCCACCTTAGATTAACTAACTCAGCACAGACCAGCGATTGATCCCGGGACCTTTAATGGTCTGCATGGGTCAACTAGCACAGATGTAGTGCATTTGCCCACTGAACCATTAAAGAAGCCGTGACATTTGTTTTTACTATTTATATCCTTTTCTGTTATGTTTCCAATGGTGAACTTTCATGTGTGGGTTTGGATTTTCCATTCCCACTGTGAATTTGTTCCTGAATGCTGCTCCTTTACAAGTGTGATTCAAGGGCCATAATAACCCATCAGGGTGGGATTGGGCAGGGGGGGAGGTAATAAGGCTCCATAAAGATAGAAGCTTGAAGAGGTTCAGCAACTTGAGAAATGTTATTGTTTTACAATGCACTTCCAACCAAGCTGTGTTTCTAACCGAGTTACTAAGTTGCGATGTGCTTCAATCCAAGTTACTACCTTGCCATGCTCTCCTAACCAGGTTGTTTACAATTTTCAAAACGTTAGAGTAAGTACTTAACCACTTTTACAACATCTGAGGCAGCAGAGTTGAGCGGGATTTTACAAGTCAGGGGAAAGAAAAGTATTGATGTAATGTACCCCTTTTGTATCCACATGGAACGTTGTAGCGTGAGACTCAGCCAGCAATTTTTTTTGTTAGACTGACCCAAGCAGGGAAATGTCGAGTCACCCGTGTATAGTATACATTAGAATCTGGTAAAGGTACTGGAAAATGTCAGCTGCCTCTTTTGATGGAGCTTTAGTGCAAAGGGAAACTTTGGACTAGAAGAGGTTTATTACAGTGTAATGCAATGTGGATATACTCTCAGGCACTGATCTTGTCCAATGTATGCATTTTCCAGTCCACCTGTTTCTTCCCTTAGCAGAGCTTGAACAGATTGCCAGCCATTAGAGGTGCTTATCTGTTGACTGTGTGCTCAGCTGTGGTGAATGTGGGGAACATACAGCAGAAATACCACTAATTGATTTAGAAGGTTTGCGTTATTTTGTCTCTCTTTGTTGACGATAACACTGTGCCCCATTCCCTCCAAAAACAGCAAGTCAAACTTGCAATCAGACTTGCAGGACGGCCTGAGATTGACTGAGGGAATAACATGTTCCTGATTGAGATTTCATTTCCTTTTGTTTCTGTTTGTGGCTGTGTGGCTGAATGTCTGGTATCAGGCCCAACTTGTTTGGAGCAAGGGTCGTTTATTTTATTTTCAGTTCCAAAGTGACCTTTGCTTAATTAATTTTGCCCTGAAAAATGAGCTCTGTATCTTTTAAGTGGGCTTGCAATCGATCTCTTTATTTAGTTTGATCGTAAATCTCACTCCAGAGAATCACTGATATTGGAACTTCTATTATATATTTTTCTTCCAGAATATAAGAATGTTATTAAGCACTTTATTTACTTCACAGCCTTTCCTTTAGCCAAATAGTGTTGGTGCTGACCTCCCTGAGGGCTCAGCTGATGTTTAGAATCCTCTAGTTTGTTTTTCACTTGCAGGATAGAATCTCTTGCTTTTTGTTGCAATGTTTATAAGACTCAGCTAAGCTATGATTCTAAACCTATTAGAATATGTGGCAGGCAGATTGAAGTGACTTTCAGCTGCTGACTTGCTGACTTTTTTCTTGGCCCAAATTGCAATCTCCCTTTCTGGCCTTCTCCCCTGAATCCATTGACCTGTGCTGGGATAAGGTTCTGCTGGTTTTAACTGTCCTTCAGTAGTTCACCCCACTAGTACATCACCCAGATGGTCATTCTGCGTGTGTGAATCCAGACGGTGTGTGCTAGCAGGCTGTTTGACTGTGAATCCTATTCTCAACCCACATGTACTTTTCAGCAGGGATCACTGGATCGTGATGCGGAGTGAGACCCGTGACTGATTTTGTTTGCCCCTCTCTTTTGGGAAACTGGTGCCAGTTGGCACCCCATCACTGCCCTGGTCTATGTAAGCTGATCTTGGCATAAAATGTGCAATCAAACTGGGACCTTCCTTATCCAATAAGAGTCACACTCGATGCGTTGACTGTTCAATTTTAGCTTTTGATTGACATGCTGTGCATTTTCTGTTTTTAATTTCAGATAACCAGAACTCGCATTTTCCTTTTGACATTCCTAATCTGCATCTCTCCAGTCAGTGATTTGTGGGGGGAGGTGATGCACACTCGAGATAGAATTTGCACCTGGGGCTAGCTTTACTTTATAAATGCAGCGTTTCAGAGTGTGCAGAATTTGTTAAATTGTTTTATTCCTACACTACAAATTTACGATGTATATGTTGGGAGGCCATCCCAAGGCACTTAACATTCCTGGCTTGGTACCCAAGCTGGAGGTGGGAGCCCAAGAGGTGGAGAGAGTAGGGTAAAGTTAACCGATGGCGTTGTCAAAGAGGTAGGTCTTGACATCAACCTTGAATAAGGTGAATTCTTGAATTCAGTCTAAACTTTTAAAACTCTTTCCTGTAATTCATAAAAAGAACTTACAGAAAACTGGCTTCAAAATTAAAGATATATTTAAGAATTTGACAAATTCTGGACTCTCCAAAATGCTACCGAAGCTGGAGGTGGGAGCCCAAGAGGTGGAGAGAGACATGAGAGAGACCTGAGTTCAATTCCAGGCAGGGCGAAACCTTGGGCAAGTTTCCTTACTCCACATGCCTAATAATAATCCGTCCAAAATAAAAAACAATAATAAATTGGTCATTTTCAATCTACGACTGTTTGTGGGACATTGCGGTGCGCAATTGGCTGCCGCGTTCGCCCACAAATATACAGTCAATTCACTTTACAGTATATTCTGTGAAGCGCTTTGGGATGTCTAACATATCAAATGCAAGGATTATTATTATATATTATTACGTTAATAGGGGAATTCTTGACCCAGTTTGGCAGTATGCTGCAGTTACAATACAATGCAAAATTACATGTGTAAAGCGCTTTTCACTTCGGGACGACGGCCCGAGGCGCTGAACAGTCAGGGATTAGGACCCGAGTGGTAGGTGGGGATTGGCAGCGGTTGGGTTCAGGGAGGGTGGAGGGCAGAGAGGATGGGAGGATGGCCGAAGGCACGATCGAAGAGAAGGGTCTTAACGGCCCGACTGCCAATGGTGGGACGGACTTGGCGGGGGACATGGAGCAGGCCAGAACCTGCTGAGCGGAGGGAGTAAACAGATTGATAAGTGTTAGCAGGTCGAAGAGGTAGGAGGGGGCAAGGCCATGGAGGACCTTGAAGGTGAGGATGAGAATTTTGAACTCAATCCTCTGAGGGATGGGGAGCCAGTGGAACCAGGCAAGGGTGGGTGTGATGGGGTCACAGAGCCTGGTGCGGGAAAAGACATGAGCTGGAGAGTTCTAGATGATTTGCAGCTTGTGGAGGGAAGAGTTGGGAAGGCCAACAAGCAGGGCATAGTCGAGCCTGGTTGTAATGAAGAACTGTATGAGGGTTTGGTGGCCTGAGGGGTGAGGTAGTGGTGGAGTCAGGCAATGTTGCAGAGATGCGGGAAGGCAGAGTGGGTCATGGCACAGATGTGGGGGAAGAAAGGACAGTTGAGGGTCGAACAAGATGCCCAGGCTCCTGACTGGCTCGGTGAGGTAGAGTATGCTGCTGAATGCTTGAGGTGCGGAGGTGCTGGCGTGAGCCAATCAGGAGAACCTCGGTCTTCCTGACGTTCAACGTTGGTAGAAAGTTGGTTTTCATCTTCGACCAAATTCTGAGTCCCAAATTCTGTGCTCAGATAATGTGTATAGATACTGTGACTGTACTGGGAAAAGGAAGATGTTGTTGGGAAGTCAATAGCTGAACTCGTGCCATATGCTTCCCATACTGCGTGCTGACCTCTGGATCTGTTCTCCACAGGCACGCCTCTCCTGGTCCGCAGAAGCAGTGACCCAGCCATGGCTCCACCTGCTGAGCTCCAAGCAGGTGCATCTCATCCTGACGACACAGCCACCAGGAACCTGAAACTCATTACAGCAGTAAGTCTCAACTGGGGTGGGTGGGGGCCTGGGGAGAGGTGACTCAGGGTGAACTCAATGGTATGTTATTTCCGGATGTAAAGCACTTCAGGATCCATTTAACCTCATTAGTGGCCAGGGCTTAATGGATACCATGCAGGTATGTGACACTAATAGGACTAAAGTCTTTAATCCTCTGAGGACACTGGCAACGTTTCCGTATCTCAAAACAAAGGAAGTGGTCCCAGGCTCACAGGTGTCTTGTTTGTTCAGAGACTCTTAAGAACAAGGGAACCTCCAGTTCACAGCGTTTCTCATCTGGTACTTGGACATGTCTACAGTTTTAACAAGCCATTGATGTTCCCTTAAAGATCTCACAGCACAATTCAAAAAGAGAAGGAAGTTATTCCTGGTATCTTAGCCAATGACCTCCAGAATCATCAGTCCTTCATGGTTGTTTATGGGACAGAGCTATATGCAAAATGACTTCTAACTTTGCCTACAAAAACTACATGTAAAAACAGTATGTATTGTAAAGTCCTTTGAGGCTTTTCAATGTGATTTTTTTACCCCCTCGCCAACCTGATCTTCTCACCCCTACCATTGCCACAACTCCTCAAGCTCATGCTCCTAGAGTATGGGAAGTGTTTAGAGACATCTTCTTGACATCCAAGACACTGTATAAATATAAATCATTGTTGTTGTTCACTATTTACTCCGTGATTTCAGTCACAAGCACTTCCCAGCTCCCTCACCCGGATCCTCACAGTTTTATTCCATCAGACTCCAGATCCTTATTATGAAGAGGCTTTGGAATTTGGGACCCGTCATCGAAAACCTGTTGATAAAGAAATGTTCAATCATGACTCTGTGAACAAAACAAAACTTGAAGTTAATTTTAGAGAGTGATCAGTTCTTTTTCAAGGGGGCTGAAATGTGAGCATTTGCAATTCTGAAGCCTGATGTCTCCACTAATCATAGACCAGTGCACATTGCCTCCCACGACCTCCAGATAGTGCTGGCTGCATCGTTCTGATGATAAGATTACAGCGAATGTAGATTTAAAATAAACAGCATCACTTGGCAATGTTCAGCCTGTTTTTGTCGAAAGTTACTCAATATATATTGTGTACAATAGCAAATAGCTGGAAGTGCTTTAAGAGAGAATTGAATCTCAGGGATTCTTGTTGATAACCATTTGAGTTTATAGATTATAACCGCTTGACTGAGCTTCCAAACTCCCCGCCAGCCTTCCATTATCCTGCATATAATAGGTGAAAGATTTCCTTTTCATCCGATGCGAATTATTTACTGATAAGCGCTTATGATGGTGATGTGTATGATGCAGTCCTTTGAAATTGCTACTTTCTGCAGTGCATAAGAATTGCAAAGAAACCCTTGAATTTTCTACAGAAATAGTTACAGATTTAATCTTACATTGCACATATTACAGAAATTACACAGCATCCAGACAGTGAGTGCAATTTTGAGTTTCATCTTGGAAGTTTAAGGTAACATTTGTGTGTAAACTTGTGTTTCCTTCCAATGGTTTTCCTGCCTGAGCTGCTAAGTGAATTTGTCCTTCATTTCTCTCTCTTGCTTTCTTCCCCCTCACTCTTCTCACAAGTCGAGCTGGTTGTACAGTGTCATTGGCACAGGCCGCATGCAGCACCTCGTCCAACTGGCTGTTCCTGAACTGTTATTTGACCACAGGAAGCTTCACACTGAGCCCCATCCTGTCATTGCCCAATGTTCGCAAACAACAATTTCTAATAGAAATGCGGTCAGATTTTTTTCTTCTCCAATTTTATGGCATTGAGGCCAATTGTAACACCGTGGTTGAGTTCATCTTACAGAAGACAAAGCAGATATTTAAACTTCAAACCTCTTGGGTCTTATGGCATTAGTACCACACCACCTGTTGCAGTTACCTACTGAAGCAATGGGGTCTTGCTAACCATTTTTCTCCTCATTTTTTCTGCAGTGAACAGTTGACCTGTGAGATCTCATGCAGGTTTGAAATGGAATAGCACAGTGAGATAGCCAGTGACGTTTTTATTTGTGGTAATTGAAACATAAAATTAACCCATGAGAGCACAAAAACTTTTTTTTAAATCGCAAACTGTATCGAACAAGCTGTATCAGTGCCAAGTACAGTATGTCTTCTCTCTACTCTCTTTGTTGGTCATTTCAACAACAACAACAAAAAAATTACATTTATAGAGGGCCTTTCACGTCGGGAGGACGTCCCAAAGCGCTGAACAGTCAGGTGTCGGAGCCCGAGCATGTGGGAGGGATGGTTTAGGGGTGAGGGAAGGCAGAGAGGTGGGAGGGTGACCAAAGGCATGATCGAAGAGAAGGGTCTTGAGACCAGCCTTGAAGGAGGCAAGGGAGGAAGCGAGACGAAGAAAACCATGGGATGGAATTCCAGAGTGGTGGGGACAGAGAGGCTGAAAGCCCAGCCACTGATGGTAGGGCGGGTCGGGAGGGAGACATGGAGCAGCCAGAGCCCACTGAACGGAGGCAGCAGACAGGTTGGTAGGGAGTCAGCAGGTCAGAGAGGTAGGAGGGGGCAAGGCCATGAATGGCCTTAAAAGTGAGGACGAGGATCTTGAACTCAATCCTCTGGGGGATGGGGAGCCAGTGGAGTCGGGCGAGGGTGGGAGTAATGGGGTCATGGAGCCTGGTGCGTGAGAGTAAATGAGCTGCAGAGTTTTGGATGATCTACAGCGTGTGAAGGGAAAAGTTGGGAAGGCCGATGAGGAGGGAATTCCCCTAGTCAAGTCTTGATGTGACGAATGAGTGGGTGAGGGTTTCGGCAGTCTGAGGGGTGAGGCACTGGTGGAGTCTGGCAATGTTGCGGAGGTGACTCTGATCATTCTGGATCACTTCTGAGCCAATTTTGACCCTTTGATTCCACTTATATTTCTAACATGCACACTTCTTACTGCAGTATTACTGATGGTAGGGCTCCTCTGGGATAGTGGGTAAATGCACCACAGGTTAAGATTTAAGCCATACAATGCACAGGTTGGAACATTACAATTGCGGGTTGGGATATTACAATTACCTTTAGGCCCCACGACTAGGGAGGAGAAGGAATCTGTCCAGGTTTCCTGCTTTGGATCGCTATCTACCAACCCCCTGTGGAAAATGCATTGTGAATATTGTGTGAGGTCAGTTAGAGCTTGGCTATGATGCTTTACCAAGTCAAATATAGTGCTGGCACACGCTGTCTTGGCTCACATGTGAAAAGTAGTTGCTTGAGCAAGGTATCAGCAGACAAAGAAACTGCACCCAGTAAGGCTTTAGGAAAGGAGCAAAAAAAAGTGTTCATGAAGAAACAGAGAAGGAACATGGATTGGCAGCAATCCAAACCCAAATATTCTGGGACAGGATTAGTTACCAGTGTTATTGCAACATCCTTGTGGAGGAGAACACTGCCAATATAAAGTCTATTCCTCTGTCTGGATATATTCTGGAGAGAAAATACTAATCTTTATTTCCCTCTTTGCGTTTCCAAAGGACATAACAGGGACTATTCCAGCACCAAATCCTCTATCGGTCATTCACTGCATGGATGCTTGCGGGACAATACTATGGTTATATTGGCTGCCCCTTTTGCCTGCGAATAAATAGTTGCTACACTTTACAACAAAAAAAACTTGTGAAATGATTTGAAACGTTTAAACATGGTTACATCAAATGCAAGGTTTATTACGATTTTTATTACAGACTGAATTCATTTGTTGTTGCTTCCTTCTGTTCAACATTGGGGACCTCACCATGATGGCGAGGCTGTGATTGGTAACCGTGTGCAGGTGGCTATCAGTATGACTCTGTGTTCTTTACTAAGTTGTAGGTGTGATGCAGCTGCTATTCATATTCCTACTCATTCTCACTTCATGACTGTTTGTGACTATACCTACCCGCCCGTACCCTCCGTTCCTCTGGCTCTGGTCTGCTCCACGTCCCCCGCCCCAACCGCCCTACCATCGGTGGTCGGGCCTTCAGCCTCTCAGCCCCCAGGCTCTGGAACTCCATCCCCCAGTGCCTTCGCCTTGCTTCCTCCCTTTCCTCCTTCAAGGCCGGTCTCAAAACCTTTCTCTTTGACCGTGCCTTCAGCTCCCCTCTCGACTCTCTTCCCCTCCTCGCTCCCTCCCTTCCCTCCCCTCACCCTGACCATTTCCCCCTCCTTGCTCCCTCCCTTCCCTCACCCTGACCATTTCCCCCCTCCTCGCTCCCTCCCTTCCCTCCCCTCACCCTGGCCATTTCCCCCCTGCTCGGGTCATGACCCAACTGTGCAGCGCCTTGGGACGTCCTCCTGACGTGAAAGGCGCTTTATAAATGGAATATTGTTGTTGTTGTTGTGGGACATTGATCTGCGCATGCTGGCTGAGCCGCCCCCTACCCCCCCCAATACAGTCACACAACTTTACGGTATATCTTATGAAGTGCTTTGAGACGTCTCAACGATGTGGTAACAACAACAAATTACATTTGTATAGCACCTTGGGGAGGATGTCCCAAGGCGCTGGGCAGTCAAGGATTTGCACTGGAGCTGATAAGGCGTAATATCAAATGCAAGGATAATTATATTTATTATTAGCTTATTGATGCTAAATGATGTATTGGCATTGGAAGGGTTAAGCACATTGGAGCAGTGGGTCAGATCAGGTTGCTCTAAGGGATAGAGGTCTTAGATTAGAATTGAGAACTGATGAAATGTCTTCTCTGGAGACTAGCTGACTAAACAAGTCGATATTTGAGGCTTCTGAAAGTTACGCCATAAAAGATTTCATGCTCTAACATCTGTTAGAAAAAGTGTCAACAACCTCATTTTTTTGTGGTGGCATGAAAATTATCTTGCATTGAAACACTTGCAGTTGCCAAGAAATTTGGTATTACCTTTCGTTGTTGTGAAAGAGGTTGAGTTTCCTGCAGATCCCACTCACTCTGGTTCTCTTCACTTACAGTCTGGTGATGAAGCTGGGTTTAAAATAAACCCATTTGCATTGCTG